TGTGTGCAAATATTTTGGTAACAAACCCTGGTTTAGAGAAACGTGCCAGATACGATAACTTTGTCTTTGTTTATTGTTATTGATAATATGCCCAGCCGTATTTACAAAATTAATCAAGGAGAGAAATATACAATATTTAAAGTATAAAATAAAATAAAACATGCTCTGGAGAGGTCTCCACTCCCCAAATTTTCTGAAATAGTACGATTTGACTATATTAAAGTGATAGAGTGATCAGTTTTTAACGATATCATTCGAGTTTCGTTTTTAAACAACTATATATACATCGTGTTTTGAAAACAAATATTATCAATTTATGGAATTGACGGGATGCCCATCCTTTTCATTAAGACAAGTTAATTTATATTTTTACTAATCTTAGTTTTTCCTTCCTGGTCATGGATCCTACTTTCAACATGCATGTACTGTTTATATTCATGATTCCCAGCACTATCTTATACAGGCTACAGTAAATTCTGGATATGCTGAACTACATCATAGATATCATTGTCTACACCCAATATTCTATATAGTTCAGATCCTTGAATCAGGCAAATGACAACAAAAAATTGTGTTTTTTAAAAGACATTGCTGCTCGAGTTAGTAAAGCTTGATCCACAATGGGGCATGATTGTCATGCACTGTTTCTAACACTCAATCATTGTCAAAATATGACACAGAGTGCATGCTCTGATGTGTGAGAAAATACATCGCGAACACCTGGTTTGATTTTAAATTGAACTTTAAACATTCATCGTGCAGCTCGAACATAGCATGATGTTTATTGCCGTTGCGACGCCATGGTGTCATATCATCGCGTGTAATTAGAGGGATTTTATTCGACGTTGTCGGTTGCAATCATCACAACTGATTAAAGCAGGTGTCGTAATTGCTTTCGCCTCGCACGTACGAGTGTTAATTTTGTGCAAAAGGTCATGAACCAAATAAACTACAGCTTTGCATTACAAGTTTTGGAAATAAAAATTATATCATTACCCGTATTCAGAATTTTTATTACACAGACAGCGTCCATGTAGTATTAGCAACCGCATCTGATGTCTTGGACTTTAGAGACTTTCATTTGAAATAACTGTGGATGTATTAAATCCTACTCAACGATGGAAATCCCAATTGAGTGCCAAAACTGGATATATTATAGAATATAGATTAAGTGTCAGAAATCTCTTTTTATCTGTGAGCAGTCTCTTACAGTAAGATTAAATAATTCATATCCACCGTGTTCAATTTATCAACGTTCAGTGAGTACATTGTTTCTTTGACAACGATATTTGACAACGAGGTTGAAGCAATATGTCCTACTGTCTCAAGTTTAACCCCCTGTTGTTTCAAATCATCTCACACTGTTTGTAATTTGCATTGCTATTCTTCACTACATATTGATATATAGTCACTATAATATCAAAGCGCGATAAGTCAAGGGCACAATAAAACACAATGTGCCCATGGTATGAAGGAACTGGCTATTTGGCTGAGCCAGGCATCGTCATTGATTTCCAGAATATTCCATAAAACTACAGCATGCACGCACTCATACTTAGGAATTTAAATATTAAGGTTCATTGTTAAGGATGTTTAATAAGTTTTCAAAACATATCTAAGCTGTTTATACACACTATACCATTTAATTCATTATCTACTCTAAACCCTGGGATTTTTGGCGCGAATGTATCCAAAATATAATAATTGATATGCTGATATGTATTTCTACAATGTCAATGATCAATAATATTTTTATAGAATTATGCAGGTTTATACAAGTTCTAAACTCCCTTTCAAAAATAGGAAATACTTCGCGTGCATTCTTTCAAAATACTATATTTAATTTTTCTTTTCCATTAAAATTTAAAACCAATTCTTCCTTTCACATATGAATGAACACGCGCTTTCTAAAGGTTTCTTAACAATATCCAGCCTGCAAAAACCGAGAACAACAAGTTTGTTTTCATTTTTGAAGAAAGAAATAACTTTGTACCACATGCAGTATTTTCAAAACAGTGAAAAAACTAAACATCAGATGAATAACTTTCTTGTACAATTTACCAAGATGAAAGAAGATGAAAGCAGGTTTAAATTTTACCTAATTGACTGTTGGCATGCATTGGAACAAATGAACAACTCTATCGTAAACGTTTTGTACCTTGGAATATGTATAGCAATTTATGCCATGCATGTATACAAATGTTGTACATTATATCACTGAGCTGTGTATAAATATATAAAACGAAAACAATAATACTGAAATGAATACTAATACTTAATTAATGGATCATATGTTGCTACAACTCCAGCTTCTCTTTCAACATCGTAGTTACTGGAGTGTTGTACCTAATTCCCTAAGAGACCTTATTTTCCTTATAAAATTTAAACTAGTTTACTGAGAGGATCGTGAAGAATAAAGCATTTCAATCCCATTTTCCTAGCTAAAATTTTGTCTGCAATCCCACTCAGCCGATTCGCATAATCCCACTCCCAGTAGCAACATTTCTGGTGTAAATTCCATTCCCAGAAGATCCTATTTTCCCAGTAAAAAAAATAAACAACTCCCAGCTGCAATATTAGCCCTTCATGACCCTCTAGCATTATCCAACGGTATATCTCGTAAGTTGTAAACTGTACGAGCAGGACTACATCTGATCCAAGTATATCTGAAATATATAAAAGCTATATTTCGGCGCTTAGCCAGCTTTTTCAGAAATCTGATATAAACCTTTCATCTTTGCACATGTACAAGTGAAAACTATAGTCCAAGAGCATAGTTTTGACAAAATTAATGTCAAGGCAGTTTATGAGTTTAATCTTTCAAGCACAAGTGAATGATAACAGTAGTTCCAATTATTAATTGGACACTCTGTATAGAAATATTAAAGGTTTCATTTCAATCCATTGTAGGACATTGGAACAGATATTTTAATGGCGTAATATAATCCTGCTCTTCTTGAATGATTCAGGTTTATCTCCTAATTCATCAAATGGATTTCCTTTGATGAAGTTTAAAACAAACACAAATTAAATAATTCGGAAATAGTGCAATGTTCATTTTCAGAAAACGGGATCTCCGCAAAAGATCAAGAAAAGGGACGCAAATCAACAGGCTCTAGATAACCCTGACGATAAACTTCAAATGACTTCCTGAGAAAAGCTGGGAATACTAGATTATTAGAGGGAGTGTTTTCGTCTCAAGACTAATTTGCCATCAGGACCCACTTGGCTGGCTGGGGATGGCAATTATAACAGCCATGTTTATCAAAACTTTGCATGTTTAAAAGAGTATTTTTATCGTTTTGTTTACAATGTTTGGCAAAATGTTATGCTAATGTAGCAACTTCAGTTCATAATATTATATTTTTCAAAATGGCAAACATTTGTGAATTAACCAAAAATATTTACAACATGCATATAACATGTATATATAGCAGTTTTAAAACGACTTACAACTGACTTACATAGTGCACAGCGCCCGAAAATATAGTTTCATTTTCCCTACTGTGGCTTCAAATCCCTCCTCAAACTATTTCTTTCTAATTCACGGGATCATTTTTGAGAGCATACAAAGCTACGATGTATATGAAACTTGGGAATGCAGTTCCAGTAGTATTCTGAACTAGTCGTCATACATCGGGTATTGGCTATATAATGGAGGATCTTATATCGAGGCGTCCAAGTGTTATTAATCCTTTTCAGGTGGTTCAGACACAAACCACGCCGTGCAGCTTACAAGAGTCTCGAGTGATGGAGTCTTAAAGACTATGCTTAAGAAAAAATATCCGTTCCTGGTAAAATAATAAATGACATTGAGTTTATCTAGTGATCAACATTCCACTTAATACCCAGGTGTGCTACGAAGTCCTAACCTACTTTATTTTTGTTTTTACTTAGGAACACTTCACGAACAAAAATAAACAGCAGTTCTTGTCAAGCCACACAAAAACATTATCATACTGTTGTAAAAAAATTCAATCGATGTTTTACATTAACCCCGCAGAGATATCATTATTTTTGACACTGTGCAAATTCGAGGTGCAATTAAGATCTGAGAATCGCGCATTTTATATCGGCTCTGGAAAACCTAGATATTCACACGGTGTTTCTATTTAAATATTATATGAACTTATCAGTTTGGCTCAGGAATATATTAGTTGAACTTGTACGATACTATTTTGACAATGAAAAATTTACGTGAATAACTGGAGAAATTTTAATTTCTCTGCCATATAAACTTAACAATTAACGGTGTGCCATCCTGTATACATGCTGATACGCATGAATTGTACTGTACAGCAGTTCTTAATGGTTCATACAAATTGCTTGTAGTTGTAAGAATGATCATGTCTCGCCGTTTAATTTGAAAGACGCTTAGACCGTAGTATAACGCACTTACATGTCAAGTGACAAGTGCTAAGAGATTAGGCATTAAGAAAAATTGATGGATATGCAGTGTATGTGCAAGTTAGAGTTCAATGTGGATAAGGGCGTTTATTAATTGAAGTGTTGCTTAGAATGTTATAGAGTTCTACGTGCTATTAATGCACTATACTAAATGGCACTATAATATTAACATTCAAATACAAACTTCAATGAAATGAGATGCATTTCTTTGTTAGAAGTTTGTTCGCAGACATGCATGCTTAGTTGGGAAACGTTCCTGTCGGCCGTTACAAGCCACGTTTTGCAGCGGGAACGGGTAACCTTCGCGAAATAAGACGAGTATGAATAATAGAAATTTCATTGAATGAAACAATTAGCGATGACTTCCATAGCTAGTAACCAGCTGTAGCCTTTATAGGTGGCCTGAACGTTGACAAGCAAAGACAAAATAAGCGGCCCAATTGGCGTTCAACATGCTCGCATCTGATTGGCCGAGAGTGGACAATGGCTAGCGTGATGCCGGGGTATTTATAGCTGTGTGGTTGGAGGCCGGACAGTCGTTGTTTCAAGTCACACACACATCACACAATCTGAATTCAAACTTACTTTTCATGATGGGTCCAAACGAACACGAATTGGAGCAGGATCCGGAGATTTCTGAGCAAACTTTGGACGTAAAAACAGAAGATCTAAAAGCTGAAACGAAAGAGACAGATAAACATAAAGATCCGAATGTCAAACCTCCATACTCGTACGTTGCTTTAATAGCCATGGCAATCAGAGAATCTCCTGAAAAGAGACTTACACTGAATGGTATCTATCAATTTATTATTTCAAAGTTTCCATTCTATGAGAAGAATAAAAAGGGTTGGCAGAACTCTATCAGACATAATCTTAGCCTAAACGAGTGTTTTATAAAAGTACCCCGCGAAGGAGGCGGTGAAAGGAAAGGGAATTATTGGACTCTGGATCCTTCAAGCGAAGACATGTTTGAGAAAGGAAACTTTCGACGAAGGCGACGAATGAAACGGCCGTACAGACAGCCAAGCTTAGCACAAAATTCTGCATTCGCTTTTGGCGATCCAAATCCTTACGGGCCAGCGAGTTATCATGGCATTGCACCAAAATGGTCTCCGTATGCCCAGCCACAGTTGAGTCAGAGTGCTTGGCGTGGAACAGCTCAAGGAGTACCCTACGCGCAAGCAAGAATTCCCAGTAGTTCATTTGCCGTTCCTTCGTATATGAATATTCCTTCCATAGCTGGAGTTCCCGTAAGTAACTACGCAACTGCATCGCCGTATTCCACTCATATTCAAAGCCAAATGAACGAACAGCATAGCTACATGCCATTGGCGAATATGTCAAGCTGTAGAAGAGAACACGAACATTCTCCTGTGCCTCATTATCCATATTAATTGCAACACTTTGATAGTCTACGAAATTTCTAACACGTTACGCTTGAAAAGTATAATAATATATAATGACTGCCGTACGCTATTGTTTTACTTTATTAACGTACATCAATACAAATTCACTCATTTCCTATCCGATCGTATTTTCATGATAGCTAAACTAATATTTGTATATTTACCAAAGAAATTATCTATCCATTAAACTTGGTGAAGCTACAACATGCAGACAAAAAACTTTGCGGCTTTCTCTGCTTAATCTGCAATGGAATCCCAAATTGTTTCACTTAGCATTAGCTCGGATTCTACAAGATTTTCAAGATAGCGAAATGAGAAAGATTCATATTGTATGTTTTGTTTAGTCCCCCATCGGCGTTAAACGCTTCTTTGGTCTTCAAATTGTTTGAAAACAAATGTTTGTATTATTTAAATCCATCGCACACGGCTATTTTGTCTAATACGCATTGGAACTGTCAGGGCATCAGTGTTGGACATTAAACTTGCCCAATAGGGGCACTGAACTTTGAATTCATATTTGGGAGTTTAGTTGAGAAGACAATTTAGAATTTTCACAAATATAGATAGTTATATATTCATTGCAAAGTTTTAATTTAAAAACGTCCATTGTACATATAAGATCGTTTTATCGCTTTCACATTCAGAAATAAAGAGAACATTTTTAATTTGTGTAATTTTGATCATTTGTCTTAAACTGTGTGCGTGAAAAGCTGGGGTGTTTTACAGTAAAAGGTTTGCGATGTCACGAGAATACCGAGTATTGTATCCAAGTCAGAATAATTATAATATGACATGATTGTCTTGCAAAACATAATACGGGTTTCAGCATGAAGCCAACACTCGGCCAAAACTTAATCATGGACACGGGGAAATTGAAAGTCCATGAAAATTATTATTTCTTACTTTATCAGTACTGTAGAATTCGCACCTCAAAATCCAAAGCTCTCATCTTAGAAACTCGATAAAAAATTAAAACAAAATTTTCGTTTAAAGTTCACGCAATCATTTTCAAACAATTTGCATAAATTTAATTAAACGAATAATTGAGTTGGTATAAGATAGGGTTTTTATTCATCATTTCCAATGTTGTAACTCGGGCCTTGAAATGTTCAAATCCTGTGTTAATTCTTTGTACTGTCCAGGGGCGTATCTGTTTTTACTTCAGAAATGTAAACTAATTTCAATGTTAAAACATGTTTTGACAAATAAATTACACTCTTTGAATTGGTTATTGTTGGCAAGAGACATGAATTGTTCAACGTTCTTTGTATTTGCTAGTCTATCATGAAATTGTCATTTTGCCGTGAAATTGCGCTCCCACAAATCAAGCCTTTTAACAAGTATAGCTATAATTTAAATCTACTTTAATCTTAAGAGCAGTTGTAAAAGATATCCATGGATTAAAATTGTTTTGCGGTAAGCAAATTACGTGAAAATATCACTTTAGACTAAGCAAGAATATGGCGTTTAAACATTCCCTCACTTCCGCGCGGACGAGGAAAATCGCTGTGTCAACGGCGTAAAATAGGAGTTTAACTCAAGTATTTTATTGACAAACACTGTCAACAATTGGAAATGATACAAGCGACAAAGGCTTGCCAATGCTATTTATTAATATTGTTTAGATAAGGATTTTCAATATAAACAACTAATTCGAATGGAAAGGCAAAAGTATAATACAAGGATGAACTTTTTGAAAGAACCCCTGCGGGAAGTAATTTAGACATGCGTGTTTTCGAATACTTGCGCGTTTGCTTGCAAAGAAAATGCAGAAAAAAATACTATTATTTTTCGTGATCAGTGTTGTATGAATTGAGAGAGATTTTTATCAGCCATTCAGCTGTTTCCAAGTAGTAAATGTTCTTGTAACGCTAGTCTGAACAGGTGAAAAAAAATATCACAGCGATAAGCTAGGAAAACAAACAAAATCTGAGCTGACGACGGCATCGGAAATTACCCTGTTTTACGTATCACACAAGACAATTTAGACTAGCAATCAATGTCGTGCAAATTAAACCAGTGGTTGGCGTGATTTTTTTTTCTCAAGCCTTAAGGCGATCCAGTTTCGTCGATATATCTCCGTTTGTTTTATTTATTAAACAGTAATTTCTCTTGGGAAAATATTTTGCATGTTTTCAATTATTTTAATATTCTTAAAATCTAAACTAACACAAAGAAAACACAAAGTGCGATAAAAAACCAATTGTCGTGCACGCCAGACCAGTGGCCGGCTGGGGAAAATTGCAAAAGCATTAAAAATGATTGCTTTCGAGCGTTTGTGGATTTGTATAACTGGTTCTTGTGGCTGCAGTTATTAAATATTCAACACTGGGAATTAAGTGGGGTTGAATATCAGCGTTAATTTGTAATGAAAACTAACCGAACCCAAAGTGTAAATAAACATATTTTAACATGGAAAACATTTTGTAAACTGAAAAGCATCATTGACACTTACATGCGGACATTATATTTAATGCTTGATAGCCGCATTTAATACGACGCAAACATAAACATCCTATAAACTTAGAACGAAAACAAATTCGACGAAAACCTTAACACAATGCATGTACATCTTTAGAGTAGCACTATACTCCTATAGCCTATCAAACGTTTCAAGGTGCAGTTTACGTTAAAAGCATTCGCAGATTGAAAGTCAATATCGCACACATATATAGCCATTGAATGAACTATATTCGCACTGAATTGATGCTGCTAGAAAAATATTTCTCTAAACTGTTCTCCATTTATTCTTAGCTGGTGAATCATCTTGCCACATATTTAGAAAGAAATAAAAACCAAAATTCTACCGTTAAACATAATCACATCAAAAGCCGAGTACTTCCTGTCATGAGTTTTTGTATCATTTTTATATCTGTGTACTTTTTACTTTAGGATGTTATGAAAACAAATGAAATATTTTAGTCAATATTTGTCAGGTATAAAAGATAATAAAGAATAATCGTTTAGTACTTTTCAACACAAACGATAGCTTAGTACATGAGACGGGAATAGAGTAAATGCGTTAACGTATCATAGACCTTCCAGAGGTTTTTCCAGCGTTGTATTGTAGACAAAGAGATTCTCTAAATGCATGCAGTCAGACTTTTCCACACAGCTAAAAAATATATTGCAAGTTCATCTAAAGTAAGGAGGTCAATTTTGTATGTACATGCATGTGATCCAACTTCCTTACAAATTTCTCTTCTATTTATTCTTCGTATATACTTATATTTTTTTCACATGATAGATTTCTACCACAAGTAGTACATACAAACCTATCAGATTAAAATCTAGCTAGCTCGGCAAAATTATATTTCATGACAATGTATTAAACACAATCGTTTTGAAGGAACGTCCCTATATACATTGATGCTGGAAGAAGCTTGGCCAATTTGTACACATTGGGAATTTTGTGAAACCTGTTCGTTTGGTTTCCGCGGTTTGTAATTTTGACAGGCCAGGGTCAGTAGAAAATGCGAGAGTATAATTTGTTTTAAAAACACCACAAATCTAGTTAAAGTTGTTTTTGCAATATCCTTCCATGAATCAACGCTTCCCCCACTAAAGATAGATATCAAAACCCACGATGAGATTTATCTTCTTTCCTAGATGGAACTTCTCATTTCATATTCATATATTATTTGTCTAGGACTGAGTTTAAGTATACAAACCTCGATAATTCATTTCGGGCTATCACATGATCTATCTACACTGTCTACTACACGGAGGCTACCTAGATTTGCTCAATCTGTTTTGTTCGAATTAATAAGCAGGTCAATACAAACAATGTATTTTCTATGGCAAGTTTTTATGATCAGTATACGTGCAACAAATTATGGTCTATATGGTTTCTGGCCGCAGCTATAACCCGCTGACCAACCGCATCCATGTGCTCAAAAAGTACGTACTTCGGTCAAATCCCACTGAGCAAAATTGGCAATTTGCATGGCATGTGTGGGTTTAAACGTATAATATAAGAGGGCGCTTCATTATATCGGGAAACGAGTAAATACGGTATACAGACGATCAAATAACTTGCCATAGAAAACATATCCCACACCTATGTATTGTGTTTATATTGATTGCACTTGAAATTATACTGCCAATCAATACGTCTCTGAATTTCAGCTTAGAAGCAGCGCTTTTCACAGCCTGCCTCGCGAACTACGTCATGTTAACTTGCACTATAGTGATCAGAGATTTGCATGGCAGCTTGTGTGCTATAGTTATTCCAGATATACCCACAGTCACAGCACAAACCGTGACCGTAGTTTTAACATCTGATTTGGGATGAAATGCTGGCACAACCGCGGGTGGACTTAATCAGAGAGAGGCTATATACTGTACCTTTACTACTTAGACGTGCAATTCTAGCCAGCCAGAGAAAGCTTTCTTGGGTTTTGTCAAACTGGAAGCATTCTTCTCGCATGCGACAATCTTCGGAGATAAAAAGATCAAAGCCCTAAACCACTGAGTGCCAAAAACGTCTTCCTGAACTACTATTTTAATTCACAACTTTATTTGAATTCTTCAAAACAACCACACAACATACTTTTGTCGCGATATAGCAACTAAAGTCAAGTATTGTTTAGTTATTCTACATTAAGCAAACGAGACGAATAATGGCTTTGCTCACACATTTAAACATATTTTTATTTCTGATGAACGGCACTCCAGACTATCTTATATAGTCCCATCAACACAGCGTCATACAGTTTCTGGATATGAACACAAATTATCAGCGCGTACTCGTATCACATACAGCTTGAAGTGGAAAATGGCCTTAAAGCAGAGTTTAAAAACCTATATAAAATTACTTTGGGTTTTGTCCGAGTGAGAAGACACGACTAAGCATTTTTTCCACATTAAATTGCATTTAAAAACATGAAAGCAGAAACGACACGTTTGGAGACAAAAACAGATCATCTTGAAAAACCTTATTTTTACCAGTCTAGTATTTTAAACACCAATTTCATTTAATTTTTCGTTTCAAATAACGTCGTTGGGTTAAAATTACTGTAATTTCTTTGAAGAATCACACAATCGTTGAAACGGAAAATAAAGCAGTGTACGAGGTAGAAAGAAACGAAGAAATAATCATTACAAAACAAGAGTTTGGTTTTAATCAGATATGGTTTTAGTTGACAACATTAGTTGACTGAAGTTTTACTTTTAAGCTCTGAGGTGAAAATCTGAAACTGCTCGAAGCCCAAGCAGTATATCACACAGTTTGGTTTGCGACTTTATTTGAAGAGGGCAACACTTTGACAGTAATATAAGTAAAACTGATAAACTAGTGGCTCTATACACAGTAAAATGGTGAAGTTTTACAGAATGTTAGTCAATAATGCACACTAAGAAACTTCAAGTGAATATTCTATATTTATTTTAAAAAATCGAAAATGCTACCAGTTTCCTTTAAGTAATGAAAGTACTCCAATGTGTACAGTTGGCTGCCAATGGCTTCATTCCATTCTGACAAAACTGATTACATACACAACGGTTTATTCAATGGGTTTTTTTATTGATAGTTCTCATGTGTATACACAATTTTAAACATACAAAAATTAAAATAATTATGTCGGTGATGTTGTCTCGGAGTGTGTCCACATCGGGCAACCTGAAAAGTTTGCTTGACCGCGATGGGAATCGAACTCGTGACTTTGTTTTGCTATCCAATGCTCCTCCTTGGATACAGATATGCAGGATATCACACCGATCTAAGGCGGAGTAATTAGTTTATAGAGAGTAATAGTTTTTAAGTTAATTAAACATCAGTTGTGATTTGGAAATGCATTCTGAAAAGCCCTATATTGGGAGCATGCAGAACGATAATAAATCTCACTAATTTAGGTAATTTTAATAATAATAATATATTGAACACACCAGTTCGTTACAATCGAAAAAGTATGACTATACTGGCCGACCAAACACATCAGCATCGAGACTGAAAGCAACACTGCAAAAGACAACTAAGTGTGAGACAGCAGTTCCATCTTACACAAGGCCAATTGTATCATCGAACAGAAAGAGACGGGAGAAGACATATCAATTAGGTGAGACATGAGATCTGGAGTCAGAGAAGTATTTTTCCATCAAGTGAGGGGAGAAAGCAGCAATCCATACAGACGAACTATCAAGACGAAATTTGCAGAATTGAAAGAAACGATATTGAGATTCGGATAGGAACAGGAACTATAATTTTATGCACAGTTTAAAATTTACATATAATCTGTTTTAATTGTAACATAATTGTAATTAGATAATGCAATTCCATAGTTCATTTTTTTCAAAATTGTAAACTAGTTATGAAAGGTTTATTGTATGCATTGTATGCTCTGTAAAACTCATTAATAATTCATGAACAAAGCAGAAAAACAAAATATTAATATATCATTTTGCTTAAATTATCATCATGGAATGACAGATATATTTCGATTGCAAAAGTGTAAGATTAAACGTTGTATTAATTCTAATTTGTTTCCAGGTTCTGCTATCGTGGAGGGGAAACTCCGTCCTCTGGGATAACTAATAGATTGTATGTATGTTATGTATGGTTCTGTAAAACGCATTAATAATTCATGAACAGAGCAGAAAACAAATTATTAATACATCATCTTGCTTAAACTATCGTCATGGAATGACAGATTGCAGAAGGTAGTTTTAAACGAAAAAAGTTCTGGGAAAATGTCTGTTGCTATTGTGGCTTGAAAGTGTGAAGATTAGACATTGTATTAGTCTAGTTTGTTTCCAGGTTCTACTGTCGCGGAGGGGAAACTCCATGCCAGATTGAAAGCAGATGTGCCTGAAATTAATTTGATTAAACAAATTATTTTTTTATTGCGCTTGTGTATTCCTCGAAAGTGACATCTTGCTCAGTTTATTAATCGTACTTAAAGTTTGTAAAGAGAGTTAAAACATGCAACTAACATGCAATGTACAACAATACCATAAATAAGAGAGGCGTTGTTCATGAAGAAAACCTTCTGTGCCAATCGTACAAGACAATCTCTTCTTGCAAACATCACATTCATAAGGCAGTTACAAGATTGACAAAATGGCTTTAATTTTAAAATCTTTGCAGTCAACATCATAGATTCATTAAGGTTTGTCTCCAGTGTGTGTTCTTTAATGGCTTGTTGAATGAATCGATTACAAGACGCATTTGTTCATATGAAGAAAACCAGGTGTCCAACAGTAGAAGAAAATCTCTTCTTCAAACATCGCATTCATACGGCAGTTATAAGATTGACAAAATGGCTTTAATTTTAAAATTTTTACTGTAAAGATCATAGATTCACTAAGGTTTGTCTCCAGTGTGTGTTCTTTAATGGCTTGCTAAATGTATCAATAACAAGACGCATTGTTTATTTGAAGAAAACCAGGTGTCCAACAGTAGAAGAAAATCTCTTCTTGCAAACATCACATTCATAAGGCAGTTATAAGATTGACAAAATGGCTTTAATTTTAAAATTTTTGCTGTAGAGATCACACAATCATTAAGGTTTGTCTCCAGTGTGTGTTCTTTAATGGCTTGTTGAATGAATCGATTACAAGACGCATTTGAAAAAAAAACTAAAAAAAAACATCACATTCATAAGTCAGTTATAAGATTGGCAAAATAGCTTTAATTTTAAAATTTTTGCTGTAAAGATCACACATTCATTAAGGTTTGTCTCCAGTGTGTGTGTTTTTACTGGTTTGCTGAATGTATCAATTACAAGACGCATTGTTCATTTGAAGAAAGCCAGGTGTCCAACAGTAGAAGAAAATCTCTTCTTGCAAACATCACATTCATAAGGCAGTTATAAGATTGACAAAATGGCTTTAATTTTAAAATTTTTGCTGTAGAGATCACACAATCATTAAGGTTTGTCTCCAGTGTGTGTTCTTTAATGGCTTGTTGAATGAATCGATTACAAGACGCATTTGTTCATATGAAGAAAACCAGGTGTCCAACAGTAGAAGAAAATCTCTTCTTGCAAACATCGCATTCATAAGGCAGTTATAAGATTGACAAAATGGCTTTAATTTTAAAATTTTTGCTGTAGAGATTACAGATTCATCAAGGTTTGTCTCCAGTGTGTGTTCTTTAATGGCTTGTTAAATGAACCGATTACAAGACGCATTGTTCATTTGAAGAAAACCAGGTGTCCAACAGTAGAAGAAAATCTCTTCTTGCAAACATCACATTCATAAGGCAGTTATAAGATTGACAGAATGGCTTTAATTTTAAAATTTTTGCTGTAGAGATCACAATCATTAAGGTTTGTCTCCAGTGTGTGTTCTTTAATGGCTTGTTGAATGAATCGATTACAAGACGCATTTGAAAAAAAAACTAAAAAAAAACATCACATTCATAAGCCAGTTATAAGATTGGCAAAATAGCTTTAATTTTAAAATTTTTGCTGTAAAGATCACACATTCATTAAGGTTTGTCTCCAGTGTGTGTGTTTTTACTGGTTTGCTGAATGTATCAATTACAAGACGCATTGTTCATTTGAAGAAAACCAGGTGCCCAACAGTACAAGAAAATCTCTTCTTGCAAACATCACATTCATAAGGCAGTTATAAGATTGGCAAAATGGCTTTAATTTTAACATTTTTGCTGTAGAGATTACCGATTCATCAAGGTTTGTCTCCAGTGTGTGTTCTTTAATGGCTTGTTGAATGTATTGATTACAAGACGCATTAATTGTTCATTTGAAGAAAACCAGGTGTCCAACAGTACAAGAAAATCTCTTGTTGCAAACATCACATTCATAAGGCAGTTATAAGATTGGCAAAATGGCTTTAGTTTTAAAATTTTGCTGTCAACATTATAGATTCATTAAGGTTTGTCTCCAGTGTGTGTTTTTTACTGGTTTGCTGAATGTATCAATTACAAGATGCATTGTTCATTTCAAGAAAACCAGGTGTCCAACAGTACAAGAAAATCTCTTCTTGCAAACATCACATTCATAAGGCAGTTATAAGACTGACAAAATAGCTTTAATTTTAAATTTTTTGCTGTAAAGATCATAGCTTCATTAAGGTTTGTCTCCAGTGCGTGTTCTTTAATGGCCCGCTGAATGTATCGATTACAGGACGCATTGTTCATTTGAAGAAAACCAGGTGTCCAACAGTACACAAAAATCTCTTCTTGCAAACATCACATTCATAAGGCAGTTATAAGATTGACAAAATGGCTTTAATTTAAAAATTGTTTTTGTAGAGATTAAAGATTCATGAAGGTTTGTCTCCAGTGTGTGTGTGTTCTTTAATGGCTTGCTGAATGTATCAATTACAAGACGCATTGTTCATTTGAAGAAATCCAGGTGTCCAACAGTATAAGAAAATCTCTTGTTGCAAACATCACATTCATAAGGCAGTTATAAGATTGGCAAAATGGCTTTAGTTTTAAAATTTTGCTGTCAACATTATAGATTCATTAAGGTTTGTCTCCAGTGTGTGTTTTTTACTGGTTTGCTGAATGTATCAATTACAAGATGCATTGTTCATTTCAAGAAAACCAGGTGTCCAACAGTACAAGAAAATCTCTTCTTGCAAACATCACATTCATAAGGCAGTTATAAGACTGACAAAATAGCTTTAATTTTAAATTTTTTGCTGTAAAGATCATAGCTTCATTAAGGTTTGTCTCCAGTGCGTGTTCTTTAATGGCCCGCTGAATGTATCGATTACAAGACGCATTGTTCATTTGAAGAAAACCAGGTGTCCAACAGTACACGAAAATCTCTTCTTGCAAACATCGCATTCATAAGGCAGTTATAAGATTGACAAAATGGCTTTAATTTTAAAATTTTTGCTGTAGAGATTACAGATTCATCAAGGTTTGTCTCCAGTGTGTGTTCTTTAATGGCTTGTTAAATGAACCGATTACAAGACGCATTGTTCATTTGAAGAAAACCAGGTGTCCAACAGTACAAGAAAATCTCTTCTTGCAAACATCACATTCATAAGGCAGTTATAAGATTGACAAAATGGCTTTAATTTTAAAATTTTTTTTTGTAGAGATTAGAGATTCATCAAGGTTTGTCTCCAGTGTGTGTTTTCACTGGTTTGCTGAATGTATCAATTACAAGACGCATTGTTCATTTGAAGAAATCCGGGTGTCCAACAGTACAAGAAAATCTCTTCTTGCAAACATCACATTCATAAGGCAGTTATAAGATTGACATAATGGCTTTAATTTTAAAATCTTTTGCTGTCAACATTATAGATTCATCAAGGTTTGTCTCCAGTGTGTGTGTTCTTTACTGGTTTGCTAAATTCTATTATATTCCGGAACTTCAGATATTGGAAACGTGCTTCTCTTGCGAAAGTTGTTCCTCCACCAACTGTTAGACATTGGTTACGTGAAGTTGGTATATCAACAAAAATACTAACTTGAAAACTTGAATGTATCGATTACAGGACGCGAGAAAACCATCTCGTTAAGTAAAATTGGTGTATCAATAGAAAATATTAAGAAAAAATTAAAATCTTTTTAAAATCCAAGTTATACAATGCCGAACTTTAGATAATGAAATCGCAACGTCTCGTTCGTTTTTCAATTTCGCCAAGCTGGCGAACGGCTGCACGAATCAAGCAACCCATATGACCATGCAGCCACTTAGTTCACGAAGTCTACCCCAGAGCTGGACCACCTCATCGCATCACTGGAAACGAGATCCTACGTACCGCATGTATCTGCCGGCCCTTTTCACAAAATTTTAATTTTAGAATCATTAGAGTTTCTTACAAGGTTTGTCTCCAGTGTGTGTTCTTTAATGGCATGATTGATTTTTAAATATTTTGAAATACCATTCCAAGACCAAGGCAGTGCCAAGGTTTCTTCCATTCTTGCATGTGTTCCATGTATTTCACGGAACGTCCATCTAAGTCTAGGAAAATGTATCAACTATCTTTAGAAGAAGCCCCAGAAAATATGAGAAGACAAGTTAAGGATTTGCACAATTTCTACAGCAAACAACTGAAGCTTGCTCGGAAGGGAGGACCATTTTCTACGACGACAATTGAGAAAATGGCAGAGAGATTAACGTGTTTTATTGCAAGAACATTAAAAATAGAGTAGAATTCTCAACAGTTCTTTTTGATCTGTGTTTTATTAAGATCTATCAAGTAATTGGGGTTACAAAGATCGGTCAAAGGGAAGCCTGATGTACCAGTACACTATCCCAATATTTTACAACATAATTTAATACAATCTTATGATGTTTACAGGTTCAAGGATGAAAATACTTTATTTGCCTTCTTTCAGTTTCCACAGATTTTGATAAGCTGCTTTTCATTATTAACCACATGTGAAAAATTATCAACAATTCAACAAAACGTGTGCAATTTGTGAAGCCAAGGGCAAGGTGAAAAAACATGATTTTTACATCAAATTGAGTTGGTCAGAAACCCAAAAAATATCCATATTGACACCTCTCGTGCCAACAACGTAGGCCTCAAGTGCCACATGGGGTTAGCCAAAAAAACTCCATCTCAGACAGAAAATTCCAAGCTCCGGCAAATTCATGAAAATTCTATATTTAATGGAAATTTCACATTTTAAAGTGGAAGCACTATCTTTGTTTTTTATTTTAACCAGTTATTTTAACCAGTGAACACTTTGCATGAACATTTCATACTATTTATTGGTTGCACAAGACACGCTTCTTACACAGTATCAATGCATGTCCGGCAGTAGTTTGCAGAACAAATAAGTGCAGAACAAACTGCAGAACAAACTACACCTCCAGCAAAATAGGCCAAAACTCTGGCCCTCCGGGCACACATCACTACCATAAAACATTTTAAGCACTGTACAAATATTCTGCTTGCACAATTTTCTGTAACTGCAAAAGTTGTTTTTACCAACTATAGACTTCTTTTGCAACACAATTGTTTGCATACTATCCAACATTTTGTCATTTAATGTAGGAAACATTAAGAAAACTGGTAGCATCTGAACAAAAATGTTATTAAATAAAGAAATATAAAAATACTCAATGTAATTCAATGTTCTATATAATAGTTGAATGACCAATTTGCAGCAAATGGACTAAAGCAATTTCAGTTTTCAATTCAGAGCTCCAAATGAAAAATAAATCAATGCCATTTTCAGTTTGAAAATGATTTTAAAAAGAAACAAGTTAGATTAGCAGACTTACAAAATAACCAACCAAATAATTTTTTGTAAATTAATTAAGTAAAAAGGTTGATGTTTATTGTCTTTTAAAATAACCAAATTCGCTGCTTTATTTTTAACTGTTTGTTTCATCAGTTTACTTGGTTCAGACGTAGACCCAATGTAACTTTCTAAAGTTTTTAAACTTCACTTACTTGTCAGCCAAGTTGACGCACAACACCAGCAGTTTGTGTTTGACACATATTTTTGTACATTGATTAATCTCAGTCATGTTCACCAAGCAAGCACGTTTATGTCACAGACTTCAGTGTGGTACCCTGCATGTCTATATCCGAGGAGCAGCTTACATTTACACCAAATTGAATAGTTGTCTTTCTACCAAGTGGTTGACAGCATCCATGTAATGTGTCATCTTGACACAAATCTGATGACCATTTGGAGACCGCCAACGAGGTCTGGATTCGACATGAGAACATGGAGGATGGTGTTTAGCTTTTCAAAGGCATGAGCACCTTGACGGGTGGTGACTGGGGAAATGATAGGGTCAGGGTTGCTCATCTTCCTCCATCATCAGGGTAAGGTTTCCACCACAGGATCGTTGACGGTTAGGGGTAAGGAGAGTGAGGATCAGGAACTGATAGACGGTAACGTTGAGTGGAATACGGACACTGGATACACGTGGGAAGGGAGGGAGGTTGTCAAGGTGTTGTTTCATACCAAAGTTTATGACCCTTATGTAATCAACTCCAGCATCCCGGAAGCCGGCGATAAATGTTGAGATGGGGACTGGCTTTGGGTGGCCTGTGACAAGGTGAGTAGCATCATCCACAGCTGGAAGAACAACATATGAGAAGGCAGTTGAAAATGAGGACATATGAAAGCAGGTCAGAAGGAGGTTATGAAGATGGTTTAGAATGAGAAGCCAGTTGAGAATGAATACAGGAAGGCGAGTACCAACGATGGAATAGCCCACTTTTGGGGGCATTTGAAAATATGCTGCGACTTCGACAATCTTCCAGAATAAAGTACTAAAGACCTATGCCTAAACACCATATACTTACAACTTCACAAGTGGAGCTTCATATCTACATTCCAGGTTCTCAAAGGAGTAGCAGTTCTCATCAGTTTCTATTCCAGACACGTGCCAAACAGGAACTGTTTGTTCATCTTTGTCAAAACTATTAAAACATCAATAAAAAAATTGCACGAAATATTGCGGCCCCAGTACGGCAGTACCCCATTCAAAACATGATTGCTTAGCTAATTATTAAAAGTTTATAATTATACCTAAAATAAAGAGCTTCGTCGAGGCTTTTCAAAATACTCATTGGAACGAGCTTCTCCAAAAGCAACAGAGATTCAAACAGACTTTATTGCACAGCTTGTCAATCTGCAACAGATAAAGAAAATGAGTTCAAAATATCAAGTATAAACGTCCAAATCACGTTCGAACAAGCATACTCACACGTGTTGAGATTTGCGATGCAGTTTTTCATCAATTTCGTTTCATTCATACACCAAATTTGGTCCACTGCTCTCCAAAACAACAAGTGAAGCGTTTGTACGTCCAACAAATACAAAAGAGGATATAGTTTCAACTTTCTCCGATTGGATTTATTCGTTGTTCGGAGCGACCTAACCTCCAACCACGTGCAACTTCGAACTGTCAAATTCTGAAATTTAGTTCAAAATCGTCCTATATGGCTATATCATGATTTCACATATAAGCCAATCATATTTATGTATTTGATCATGTGCACACACATCATTCGACCGGAAGCCGTGATCCCATTCGGAAGGAAGAAGTTATTTCCTTCGAGATTGGTTTAGAAACAAACTTGGAGTAGATTTGGTTAGGGTTAGAATTGGTGTTCAGAATAGGGATAGTGTTAATAAAACTGTTGCTTTGTTACGTCTTGTCACTCTGAGGCCAGCGAAATAACCTCTAATTCCCATTTCGAAGAGCTCTGGAGAAAATCGTAAGGCAGAGCATGCCCGTTCGCAGATTGGAAATAGAATGGGGGGGGGGGGGGGGGTTCCGTGGCATATTTCCTTTGCTCCAAGGACCAAGGTTCCGATTTCGCCCTGGCAAAGGAATGTAAGCAAACCATGAAGAATGAGACAAAATATACAACACAATAATTGAACAGTATCTTTCTCTTAATGTTTCTCATAGAAGTCTGACGCTTTATACAAATAATTTTAATATGTCCTCTGGTGCTTATGGCCCACCACACGACAAAACTGTGAAAAACATGTCGCATATAGATTGGTTTCAGTAAATGGGACAGTGCGGCGTTCATTTCATGCCAACACTTTGTATATATTGAAATGTACACAACGTAAAAACGCACAAGTTGTAACAAACCTGCAGCAGATTTGTAGCAATGCTGTTCCAACAACATGTCAACAGGTTGTGTTCGCACTGCTTGTTCCCAAGTTGTCAACGGCTTGTTCACAACTTACTACAGGGTTGTTGAACTCGACAGACTTGCTACAAGTTGTTCCAACAACTTGTTATCGTCCTGCAATTCAACAAGTTGTGAATGACAACCTTGTAGCAACTTGATGAAATAACAGCATTGTTACAACTTGTTGACAAGCTTGCTACAAGCACGTTGCGAACACATCTTGTTGACAAGTTGTGAGATTTTTACGTGCAGTAGTAATGAAAACATTTGGGAACATTTTGACGATGTGTAGCATAAAAGACTGAAACCAACCTATATATAGCAATTCTATGTGATGTTCAATTCAATTAATACTGTCTCAGAATAGAGACAAACAGAATTTTGGCTGAGCCGACCTTCTGTGTGTCTTGTTTCTGTGACAGTGTCTTTGGTAGAAATACGGAAGACTGCAAAAACCTTCATTTGAGCTATAGAGCGTCGTTTTCATGATCGAGAATTTAGCTGATCAACGCGACGTACTCTCTGGAATAGTGTATTGTGTAGAGTGAATTTACAACTAATAGGACGTGAGTTGTTGTTAAATATCTTTTCCTCAATTAAATAAAATACCAAATTGTCTATATATCAGGGGCATCTCACTCCATAGAACTGAACGTTGCGAAATCCTGATATTTCCCCATACAGTTTACACTGCCGTCACTTTGATATAATCACACGAACTTGCGGCTTGACAACTGGACTCTACAGCTCAGTTGGCAAGAGCGCTGTAACGCAATCGCAAGACCCGGCAGCTTCGATTTTTGGTCTAAAAATGTATAAAATTTACACGTGGAATTTTCATTTACAAAACTCCTTCAAAGTTACTTGTGTATACAACACTACAACACAGGTTCTATTAAGTCGTTATGCAGACGTCACGTAAACTCCGCACATTTGCATACCAGACAAACTGAAATATCTTAAAAACAAATTGAGGAAAAGAAATTCATCAAAACCTTCAGTTATCATTTGAAACATTTTTAAAGGCCAGCGGCACTTTAATGAGCTTTCAAAATGTCGAATCTTGTAGTCGTATTTCTACTCGCAGTAAATGCTTTCTCCAGTAACGTGGAGTTGCCATGTGTTAGCGCGAATTAAGGTCTTAGTGTTCTTAAAACACCATGTATTTCTTTTACTTTTTGCCATCACCCAACGCTCATCATTGCGATCCTTAATCAGTTCAATTCTTTCCCTGGTACAAAACAATCCAGGAACCTGCTAAACTTGGACCCAATTCTTCCTCATGAGTGGACAACAAAACATCATTAAATACAACATATCTTTTAGATAATACAGTCATCCTCATGAGTCCTCAACGGATTGAATTTCTCCCATGTTCACTCGCTCGGCCGCGTTCACGCTAAATCCCAGGATACTGGGATCGACTTTCTGCATACGTTGCTTTTTCTTCTTTTTCGTTTTGCCGCCACTACTGTCGGGCTCACTTCGTGAACCAGCGCCGCCTCCTCGGGCAACCACGGATTGTTTAGGTGGTGATGTTGTTTTTGTTGGCACGTGTTTCCATTCAGAACTTCGACGTCTCTCAATAAATTCTTTTGCAAAAGACTTGGCCTCGTTGCTCTCTCCAATATATTCTCTTACATAAGTATGTACCTGTTGCAATACAAGGAACGTCACTGACCTCTATATAGAACCTGCATATATCACTTTGAATTCGTGTTCCGCCCGGGAAAGAAATATAGTGCAGTTCTTTTAAAATATTCCCTTCCGGAAAGTACGTCATCTTGGTTATTGAGCCTCGTTTTCGTGTAAGTGAGATTTTTAAAGGCTCATCTACGAGATACGACTAGTCGTATACGTACGATTCTTATCCTGACGTATGTACTCGAATAAGTACGTGTAAAGATGTCACATTTGAAAATTCGCCATAATCTGATGAGTGGCACTTTTTGTGTGTGTTGGTGTTATGTACTCAGGCACAGAATACTACAGAGAAGTCCATCTCCATTGTTTTTTGCGTAAGCGTTATTCGTCATGATTCGTCACTCAGCAAGTACCGTAAACAGAAGCAGTCACCCCCCTGGACGTTCGCCATTTTTAGTATTTCCAGGGGGGGACTGCTTCTGTTTACGGTACTTGCTGAGTGACGAATCATGGCGAATAGCGCTTACGCTAAAAACAATGGAGATGGCCTTCTGTGTAGTATTCTGTGACTCAGGTGAATATGATGTTTGTGATGTTACTCTGCATCCACACCGGGCAAGCTGAAAAGTTTGCCTGACCACGGTGGGAATCGAACCCGGGACCTTTGGGATATCCGTGGTCAGGCAAACTTTGCAGGAATAGTGGCGTCATAAATCAGGAAAACGAGGCTGTACAGCGAGGATGACGTATTTGCCGGAAGTGTGTATTCACATGTAACAAACCTCGTATGGAGATTCTAACTCTTTAAGGAAAGCAATAAATGTGGGAACTAAAACAAGAATATAATACAGTCAGTTCAAGTTCAATTATTCAAATAAATTCATAAGTTAATTCAGTTTGAACGTTTGCAGAAACAGCTCTTACCATCTACAGCCGTTGCTAAACCATGTAAACTTTGTGTGCACCATTCAGTAAATGGATCATTGCTCACAGCTTGTTGGAATATCTTACGAACACTTTCCTAAAATTACATAACTTTTAGTGTGGCCAATAGACATCGTCTGACGGCTTTCTTCATCTTAAAATGATAGTGGCGTCATTGACAAAGTCCCATACAAGGGGAGACAAGGGGAGATTTTGCTCGTGAAAGTTTCTTTTAAGCAAATTATTGACAGAAATCGTACCTCTTCTCTAGACGATTTCTTCGAAGATTTCTTTCCATTTGTCACAGGCTTTGTGGCACTAATACAAAAAAATATTGACTTAGTTTAGAAACTGATAATGCAATCCAGTTAAGTTTAGGTTTCCTTCTGCAGTAACACTTGAACAACAAGGGATGTCCCTTACTGGACCTCTAGGAAGATAGTTTAGTTTAGGTTTCCTCCTGTAGTAATACTGGACCAATAAAAAAATACTCGTTAAGGAACCTTCAAGAAGAAAGGTCAAGGCAATAGAGCTATCCAGTGTACTAGAATTAGTTGTGTTTCCTCTTATAGTGACACAAAAATTTAGCCACATAGTGTTGTTCAGTATAAACAAGTTTAGTTTTACCTCTGTTTAGCTTGCTTTGTTGTGTTATTTTTCGGTGTTTGTGCTTGGTTCTTCCCAGTCTCCCGCACCACATCATTACAGTACTCTGTCTCCTGTTCTTCCTCGCGGTCATCGTGGTTTCCAGTCCACACATTATTGTTCCCGGCCGTCCAAGCCATGCTCCAACCAGTCGAAACTTGCGTTGGCTAAAGTAAACAACAGAGGTCGGTTGTACAAAGGCCTGGTAGCGCTGTCCACCAGACAGTGATTTTTTCAAACTTCCCGGATTAAACTTTAGCATTTTAATTCATAAATTGTTGAGACTCATATCGCTGGTTTTCTAGCTTTTGAAGCATTTTTATAAAATTTGAATTAATCGCTATATCTTGTGGAAAGCGCTACTCGGCTTACGTACAACCTGCCCCAGAAATTTAGCTCGTTTTTTAAAAATATATTCCTACGTTATTCAGTCCTACAATTGCTTTTTGTGTACCGCCTCCTGCGGTCCAAGTAAGTGTTAGTACTAACCTGTGAACGAGGTGATTGTTTGTTTTGTCGTGCCTGTTCGTCCTGGATTGCTTTCAAGGACTTTACATTACTGGACGTCTGTAACCTGCAAGAACAACACGTGATCTCTATATTTGTACGTAATATTGCAGACAAGATTGATTCTGTACCTAGGCAAGCTACGAGACAGATCGGATCGTGAATCGGTTATAATTTCCTTTATGCTTGTAATGCATATCGGACCTTTCTAGAACACATTTGTGAAATACATGCTTTGTATTCTAGATGTGACCAGTAACTCCCAGTCAGATATTTGATATTAAGGGGCGGATCTAGCCTCGTCTGCAAGGAGGGGTGCACGTTTTCCATGAAGTGGTGATGGACCTCTCTGGCGAGGGTGGGGGGAGGGGGTGGAGTCGGGTGTTCTACACACCACTAGATGAGGTGTGCACCCCCTGCACCTCCACGGGAGACCCACTCCTGATTGATGCACTACATACTTCTCGGAAGACCAGCCGCCATGACTTGCTGCAGATTGCAACTGACGTTGTTTCGCTGCCAGTTCCCTCATTCTCTCCTCGTGTGCGAGACGATTCTTTTCCTCTTGTTCCTGGATTTCAGACAACGACGTGGCTGCAGAATTCTGAGTGAGCCAGCGAGATGATTCATTTGACTAAATAACACACGTTACACTTACAGATATATCACACACATTTCCCATTCTCCTAGTCTTCAATTCAAAACTCAAACCGTGGTATAGGCCCAATATATTGCTGGGAAAATTCAACACACAATTATTACACCAAACTGAATATATACCCCGGAAAGGAAACATTCTGTTTTATCTATCATATCTAAACTGTTCTTCTTAGATATAGTGCTTTCATGTGACCGGAGTACCAGAGTTAAACTGGAAGTGTTGTTCTAATAAGTAGTAATGAAGTACAGGAATGGAGGCCAGGTGAAAGACTTTGTCAAATATTTGCATACTTTTGATTTTCTTTGTTGGTTGCTTTCTCTTTTCTTCCTTGATTTTTCCTCCTTCTCTTCCCAGTCTTCCTCCACTCGTTCTTCGCAATCATGTCCCAATGCCTTCATGATAAAATACGATAATTAGAAACTGCTTAATTATAAAATATGATAATTAGAAACTGCTTAATTATAAAATATGATAATTAGAAACTGCTTAATTATAAAATATGATAATTAGGAACTGCTTAATTATCAAACACGATAATTAGAAACTGCTTAATTATAAAATACGACAATTACAAATTGCTTAATTATCAAACACGATAATTAGAAACTGCTTAATTATAAAATATCATCAATTAGAAACTGCTTAATTATAAAATATCATCAATTAGAAACTGCTTAATTATAAAATATCATCAATTAGAAACTGCTTCATTATAAAATATCATCAATTAGAAACTGCTTAATTATAAAATATCATCAATTAGAAACTGCTTAATTATAAAATACGATCAATCAAGAAACTGCTTAATTATAAAATATCATTAATTAGAAACTGCTTATTGATCGTAAACAAACAGAACAATAAACCTCTTCTTTCACATTCTGTTCTATAGCTTTGCTTCTTTTCACTGGTTCCTCTTGCTTGCGTTTTTCTCCCCCAGATTTCTACATAAAAAATAAGGATGTTTGAGGTTGTTGTGCATCGTTAGTTTTTTAACTGGTATTGGTGAAACATTGATGCCAGTTCCAAAAAGTTAGTTTGGTTTCGTAGCAACGAATTATAAATTGGAAATAAAATCAGTTTAAATACCATCACCACGTTCATGAAAATCGTGAACGTACTTTTGATTTCCTTCGTTGTTCATTTTCTCCATTCTTTCCTAATTCGTCTTTCAATTTCTCTTCATCTTGTCGTGGCTTCCTTCCCAGTCGACCTTCTTTCTCCATCATGTCGTACAACTTGCCACGCCCCATCCCTCCTTTACCACGCCATTGTGGCGCAGACTAGAAAAAGAAGGTTTAGAATGCCTAGTGTCCATTTAGTCGTGTGACAATCATCAAGGAAACGAAGTAATAGTGTGTTCTCTACAATATCGTGATTTCCATACACCGTGCAAAACACATGAAGAACGGTGTAGATATTTTGATTATTTCCACATTGCGGAACAAATTTGAGACTAAATGAAAACTAAGTGTTATAAACTCAGGTGCTGTTTATATGGCAACCAGGTTGGCTCGTTTACTGACGCGCTAAGTTCTTAATTATAGCCAAAATAACACCTTTTCCCATAGATAATCTGGCTCATTACTGCGAAGAATGTACAAAGAGATGGCACGTCGAATTGTATTGTAAAACAAAATGTCAAAATGTCTTGAAAAACGTGATAATGCAACTTGCAGCTTGACGGGTCTTCCCGTTCTCCGTATAAACAAGACATTCAGAAATTGTAAAAAATTGTCAAACCTGTTCTCCCTTTGCAGCATTCAGTTTTTTCTTTGCTTCTTCTTGCTTTCGTTTCTCTGCCTCAGCTTTCTATATGTACAGTAAATATTCTTTTAATGGAGCAGACAAGAGAGATGACTCAAACACTCACTGTATGGAGATCTGTATAGACAGAACTGATAGAGCTCTCCAATATAAATAAAGTTCGTTTAGTTTACAGTAGGTTTCCTCTTGCAGTGGAGCAGTAAGGGATAGCTGTTACCGTAATCTCCTGGGAGAACAGTTTAGAACTACTAGAAGCTATCCAATATAAATAAAGTGAACCTGTATTTCTTGTTGTCTTCGTTCTTCTTCAATACGTTTTAATCTTTCTTCTTCTTGTTTCTTAGCAAGTTGTCTCTTTTCTTCCTCTTCCTTTTGTCTCAACATTTCAGCCTTCTCCGCTTCCAACTAAATAACCAAATATAGTTTTAACACTTTTGTAACATAAATGCAAGAACTGAAATAATGCTGCTGCGTATGGAGTCAAATATACATATATAGTCAAACTTGAATTTCATTAAACTAAAGTACCAACTATATTTACACTGAATAGCTCTATCATTTCTAAACAGTTCTTCCTGGGGGTCCAGTGAGGAGCGTCTCTTATTGATCCAGTGTTACTACAGGAGGAAACCGAACTGCATATAATTTCTAAACCGTTCTCCCTGGAGAGGTCCACTATTTCGTAGTGCAGCACAAAATCGAAATACTTTCTAAATCATGCAGCTGAGACGATATATTGCAGGAATTAATTTTCAGTCTCAATCTCCGTGAGCAGTTTTTACATGCAACTATCGTGACGTATGAGGCAGACAAATATTGAGAACAAACCCTTTCCCTTTCCTCTTCAATTTCCCTGTCTCGTTCCCGTCTTTGTAAATCCTCCATCGGTACAGGCGATGTTTGGCTGAAGAATACAAACATTGATTAAAACGTCTACTTAAACATTGATTAAAACGTCACCACCCTGTCGGGTGAACTCATCCACAATAAAAATTTCAACAGCCTGATTTACAGGTCAAACTCAGGTAGGGTGAACCCCAATTACACTTCAAAGTGCAAATCGCGTTATAAGTCATGACGGTGAAACTGGATCTATTGTCTTCTTGTGTGTATGCTGTACACGTGCGTCCTTAAATAATTGTCGAGCTGCTACGATATCCAAGCGGGGTTTAACTGTCTACCTTTTCGGTTCGCTCCACGGGGATGTATTTCCTGTTGGTGACCACGAATCTAAATATAAAATACATGAACACTTCATTTATACTGCAAAGAACTGTTCTCCTTAGAGGTCCAGTAAGAGACGTCCTTTATTCATCTAGTGTTACCAACAAACACGAGAAAATTTGAGGTATTTTGGTTAAACTAGAAGCACTCGTTTCACATATGATTGAGACGAAATCATATGGCTTACAACACAACACTGTGTTCAATAAGAATGGAAATAATGGCGATGAATGATTACAAACTTACCCTTTGGAGACTGCGGCTCTGCTCCCCAGATCATCTCTGCTGCTCCGATGGGAGAGCCCGAGTGTGTTGTGGTCGGAAGTAATCGTGGACTTACGACAGTTCGCGAAGGTTGGTTTTCAGAAGAAGCGAACTTGAGCTGTAATGATGTTTCCACAGCCTGTTGACGTTGTTCTTGTTGTAATTGTTGTTGTTGCTAGACGAGAAATTAAACAAACTTTCTTTCATTTCAACTTAAATAATGCTCTCAAAATTACGAAATTTGTGTCTTTTACACATCTGTCATATCTCTACTTCATGTTTAGGAAAACAAAAAGCCAAGCTGTTACCTGAATCTGTTGAAGTATCGCTTGTTTTTGCAGATGTTGATAATGTTGTTGTTGTTGTTGTTGTTGTTGTTGTTGTTGTAACAGTAATTGTTGTTGCATGAACATTGTCTGTTCATTGATAACCTGTTGACGCTGGCAAAACAGAAGAAAGTTCATTAAACATAAGAAAGTTTATTTCGCTAATATGTTTTAATGGTGGCGTCGTGGACAGCAGTTTACAGTTGCAAAAAAGCAACTATATAGGGCCTGAGCTGCAGAGTTGCCAAGAGCTAACCACAAGTTCATCTACGTATATACTAGGGTGTTGCCATGAGGGTATAGCGTAAATTTAGAATATTGAAATTAATTTTAAATGAGCTTACTGTAATAGGAGGTGGGCTTGCACCAGGCAAAAAAGGAACTCGCTTCCATCTTTTAATCAAATCCCCTAGATAAGACAGAACGACGAAATGATCAATACTCTTTGAGCTGGTCACAAACAGACAGATAACACACAAGAACGTACCGAGGGATAAATAAACGGCATCACATTGTCTTCTTACTGACAGTTGCATTGTAAAATAGCCATGATGAAACCATTCCATCATTTCTTCATTATTGAATGGTCCTTGTTCCTGTCCTTGTGGATCACGATAGAACCAGTTTTTTTCAACACAATTTGATCTCTGAACACCTTGACTCTCCAATGACAACTTTTCTTCAGAAGGTTCTTCACCCTGGAAACAGACATTTAAAGGCATCTGCGATTACATACCTTATTGAACAAAGTTCATATATGTACAGTTATGCACTATATCTCAGACCCCGAGGAATACGTTATCATGTTAAAAATGAAAGAATAATGTAGCACACAGCATAGATGTCACGTGTGTACAATTTAGCTTTTAATCATGGCGTCAGCAGTTCTTGATTGGAATAAAAAAGAACAGTCAATGTAATTTGACGTTCTTGATTTCAAACAAGAACAGCTAACGTCATCTGTAACGCCTTGAAATTCTGGTTCTGTCATTTGAAAAGGGAGTTCCGGCATTAGTAAAGGAAGTTCTGGCATTGAAATGGTACTTTTGGATTTGAAAACCAAGTTCTGCCATTTGCAAAAGGAGTTCTGGCATTTGAAAACCAAGTGCTGTCATTTGAAAGGGAGTTCTGGCATTTGTAAAGGGAGTTTTGGTGTTTGAAAACCGAGTTCTGGCATTTTAAATGGTACTTCTGGTATTTGAAATCCAAGTTCTGCCATTTGAAAAGGGAGTTCTTGCGTTACGGTTTGGTCGGCGCTCGTGAATCGTCGCTTGCTCAAGCTCTCTAGTGACATCACATCATCTCATACCTCAACATCAAGGTTGGCAATGCAACTCTCGGCTACTCTCTCCAAATTAAATCCCACTTCATCTTGTTGTGTTTCCGCATGGATGTCGTGTTCTAAATAAAAATTTTGTAGATTATATATACCGTGTATATATTTTTGTGGTAGCATTGTTTCAGAAGATATGATGGGGCAGCAGATAGTGGTCAAACTTTGTTGATATTTATAGATCAAGCACTCCTTTCCTGATGTCATATAACTACCAGATTTAAATCACATGTTCATGATAATAACGTTGAAGAACAATTCAAAATGCATTAATAATTAATTAGGAAAACACAAAGCGTGTCGTATCTTTATATGTGATAGAGATTTCCCTTGATTTATATAAACTTTAACTTTGATTTTCTCGACTTACACAACGTATTTTTAGAAAATTACTTCGCCAGTGAACTTACGTTTTTGAAGCAATTTAAAACATTCGCAGTGCGTGTTTTATCAGACCTAAAGATACTCGGCTTCGCCTGGTTTCTTTACATGTATATCTGATAAAAAACACTCATGCTCGTTTATTAAACAGTACTTGAAACATGGCAGAATGTGATCACTATTGAATTGCTACTGTAGTGTTACAAACCTTCTCTGGGGCTTATTTCATGTGATGATCCTGCCGCCTTCTCCTCCATCACAGGCTGGGAATTGTCTTCAGGAGTTGCCTTTACATTCTCCTGTTGTTGTATGTCATCGTCTTGAACTTCTAACAATCATAATAACAAAACGTTGTGCAAGATTTCTCGACATTATACCAAGACCATCATTATTTGCAACCAAGCTGAATTGCGAAGAACGCAGCTCAACCTGATCGTGTTGAAGGCTTTCTAAGGGCGCTTCTGCCAGCCACCTTATGACTCCCGTCTGACCACAGAGCATAGCTACAGTGGAAGCGTCAGTCAGGGTTAGCTGCAAATTCCAACATTCCCTGGGGGAGGAAATCAGAGTACTCGGAGAACACTTGTGACTCTTTTCACCCCTAGCAAAGGTAGTTTAACGTTTTCTGCATTACCTTTCACCAGGTCACTTTGAGCAGTGTCTGAATCTTTATTCGTCACATCACATTCAGACTCCTACAGGCAAGAGATTGCAAACATTTACATGTTAAACATAGAGATCTCTTCAAGGGGAGAACTGATGCTCGCTCCATATATGCATTTCAAAAATGAGTTTTTACATGTTAAGTTGTTCAGTGATCCATTCTTAAAAAAACAGCATCTATATAAAAATTCATTTCTAACACAATAACAATTATAGACACTCAGTTTTCTTTACAAATCAGTGTCTTACATCATTGTCTTCAACTATTTCTAGATCCCAGTCTTCCCTCGAACCACCACCACTATCATCTGGTGGTTTGTTGTCCTACAAAATGTTAGTCAGAAAATCTTTATTATTCTTCATTTTGTAATCACTTGATCAATTAAAAATCTGAAAAACCAAAATATTTTACAGTAGGTGGTATTCTATTCATGGTGTGGGTCAGAACTTGTCAAAAATATTGTCCAGATCTGTACATTTGCAGGATACAAGAGGCAAAAAATACATTTTAAGAAGACAGGTTTTCTGTAAAATATGTAACATCTTGCTATATTGACACTCTTTGGACAAGCAATATGACATGCTGGCCATGTTCCTTAATCTGTGCTTGAAATGTTGAAGTTTGTCAGATACGAGAAAACGTCATTCGTAGTACACTACCTTGGCAACACAGAAAGCTCCAGTGGCGTCAAATGAGCCTGAATCAGGTTCAAACATATTGTCAGGTTTACTCCACTCTGGAACATCTTCAAAACTATTTCTATCTCGATCACTAAACCTACGCTCCCTTGTGGGCTCATCCCTGTGCCAATTATCACGAGACGACGCTAAACACAAAGAAATGAGAACCATTAACCACTTGATGAGTCAAGCAACATTAGATTTAGATGCACAGTTACAAAGAGACTCAAAGTGTTAACAACAGCCAGAAACCAACTTTAACATTGACAAAATATTTCAGTGACTTATTCACACAACTTTAGATGTGCAGCCAGACTTCATAAGTAACAGTGTTCAGGGCTTGAAATAACATTTCCAAAGTTCCTGATCATGGCCATTGACAGTCATGACTTTCACTGTTTTTTTGGATTGAAAACCCTGCTTTTCTACCAATCACAAACAATTTGTGCCGATCACTGACCAGCGGGTATTTCAAGCCCTGAGTGTTTGATATCTTACTTCTCCATCTTTCAGCACGTTCAGATCCCCGGGGTGTCACCCATCCCCCACCATCATCATCACCCTCTGATGACCTCCAGTTCCCACTTGCCAAAGCTCGACCATGACGACCAGTAGAGGCAGTGGGCTCATATCCGCGAGGTGACGTTTCTACATAAGCATACAGCAGGGTGAATACATGTTTAAAACCTTTGTCTCTTTTCTGTAGTAGTTACTGCACTATTTATATGCTATGGCGGATATTTGTCATCGTGAGAAAGGATAATTAACAGCCAACAGATCTCAAGTGCAGAACTTAATGGTTAACAAAATATATTGACAGATAGCCTGGTTAACAATATTCTCATTACCAGTATCTCTTCCACTTGTTCGATCACCAAACCCTCCTCTCCTAAAACAACAAAAATACTCCATACATGTATTATTATTTACATAAACAAGTAAAACATATTTCATGAAATATCCTGGCAGCAATGCTGCTGACACTGCCTGTACTGTACTGTAGAATTGATTCAGAAGAGGACATGGTTTTCTGTCTGAAAATATTTAACATGCATTTACCCAGTATTCTCTCCCCAACTTTGTTTTCTATCACGCTGCCATCCTTCCTCTGTTTTATTTGAAGTTGATTCGTCTTGAGAGAAGCCGCGATAGAAACCTTGTTCACCTCTTCCTCGACCTGGATAACACACATCATATTTTACTCACAGCCATCTAAATATTTTAACTCACTGAGTGGCAGCACTCTCTCACTCTCCCCTTGATGAGTAAAATCATCTGGCATTAGTAAGTAAAATAATAAAGTGTCTGGAATGTCATCTTATTCCTATTATATGTATATCACTGAATAGAGTTATGTTCCAACAAATTGATCCTTGAACAGTGATGTGTACCTACCTGACCCTCGACCACCTCTTGACATCCCTCTTCCCCCTCTCTGTGCCCCTCTACCCATCATCTTCAACACAGCTAAACTGTTCAATGATCCAAATGAATTCCGCTGTTTGAAACAAAAGTTAAAGAGCTTAACCAATGGGCATGTAGTAAAACACTGACTACCGGAACACCGGAACACCACCGGAACACCGCCGGAACACCACCTAACCCTAACCCCAACCCCCAACCCTAACCCCAACCCTAACCCCCAACCCTAACCCCAAACCCTAACCCCAAACAAAATGGTGGTGTTCCGGTGTTCCGGTAGTCAGTGTTTTACTACATGCCTGACCAATGAGCTGCACAGTTATTTTTATTGAGCTTTATTTGAGACCAAGTTAATAATACAATGAATGATTGATCAAGGCTTACAAGAGCATTATATATATTATATATATGAGATTTATAGGAACAAGAAACTAAACTAAATCTCAGTCCATGCTGCCCTCCATCTATTGCCGTAAGCATACAGGCCAGATACTTTTTTTTTGGGGGGGGGGGCACTTGAAAGTTTGCCTGAATGTTTTTGCAATATTTTAATAAAATTATCTGAATTTAACATATTTGTGATACATTTGCCTGAATTTTCTTCATTTTCCCTAGTATTTGCCTGAATTTCCTCCATGGTTTTCTAATTTTTTTTGTGGGGGGGACGCCTCTGTCTCATATGCCTATGTTTGTTGTGTGACAGTGCTTAATGTAAACCATTTATGGTGATTGTAAAATATTTAAAATATTTAAAGTAATCCTACTTGTTCCTCCTCAGTCAGTGGCATCATTGCTAAAGGATCACACGCATCATTTTTCAAAATGAAATCTCCAACATCCTTGTTTACTTTTGGTGGTTCGAGATTTTTTGAAAACAATGCCAACATTTCTTCCTTGCCATATCTGAACTGTGCCAGTTTATAACCAGGCCCAGGTGAGGGAGGAGGGACTGAAACACTCGTCCCATTTGAAAGATCACGGATCCTGTCATCAAACACACAAAACAATTTTAATGCCATTCACCCATAAAGTTGTATTGGGTCATTCCAGAAAACATCCATACCTCCAGCACGGAGGAAATTGGAAGTTAACCCCCCAATCACCTTCGGGTGTCCTAATACACAAGTACTAAATTATCACAAACAATTTTTTCATCCCTCCCCCTCCAGATGGCAGAAATTAGTGCCATATTATATCGGACAATTTTACTCATCAAGGGGAGAGTGCTAGCACTCAATGAGTTAACTGAGCTAGCTCAAACTCGGCTGTTTTATAAGGTCTCTAAGGCATATGTCCTAGCAACTACGTCAATAGCAAACTTGCTGAAAACATCTGCAAAAATACATCATATGGTCTGTAATACAGAACATGCCAGGCATATAATTAGTCATTTGTGACCAACTTTAACCCAATGAGCATAGATGGATTTTTTTGGGGGGGGGGGTGCAGGGGAGTGCTACCCCCCAATATTAGCTATAACCCCCCCCAACAAAATGTCCACCCCTCCAAAAAAATTTTCAACCCTCCCCCCCAATATTTGGCATAATAAAAAATAATTAAATAGTCCACTCCAACGTGCAGAGTGTTGATGATACAAAATAAACATAGGAGTACACTCTAATAGAAAAAGACAGTGCAATACTCTGAAACTAATCGCTCCTCGCTTGCATTCACTTGTTTATTGGAGCAATTGTAAAGTTTTGAAACTCTATTATCTCCCCTGAATAGAGTTTGCAGTGCCTTGTCATGCAAATAGCTTGCTTGCAAGGAACGTTTGGAATTTTTACGAACATTATTTTTAGTTTTTAATTCTTTTAGGAAATAGACTTGCCTAGATTAAAATCTCTACACCCCAAATATTATTTACATTGGAGTTGCATCATAAATTGTACTCGGATTCAAACGACACAATGTCAATGACTTTATAAAAGTAAAAGCATATTGTGTATTGGCCTATTGGGTTTACACTTTTACAGGTTCATTTAACTTTAACTCTCTCAAGTCTCAACAGACAATCGGACATGCCAAATCCATTGATATGACAACTTCAAAAAACTTTTTTTCGAAGCTAGAAATCATGACTATTTTCCAATTTTTCCAGGGATACTTTGATTTCTGCTCTCTAGACTCCCCCTCACAGCTCTAGTGCTCCACCCCTAGAATATAGACCTTACTGGGGTTTGGTGACACTTTGTGTTGCTTCTTCAGTCATCTGCTCACAACTCACCCCCCTAAAATTTCTGGCACCACCCCAGTAAAAAATATGAAAATCCGTCTATGCCAATGAGTACCAGCGCTCTCCCCTTGACAAGTAAAATCGTCTGGCATTAGACAGAGTAAAATAATAAAGTAGGGAGCATCAAGGCCAAATTGCAACTTAATGGGTTAAATGATTTGGCAATAGCAGATAAGATTAGATTACATGATAACCTTGCATAGGTGTTTGTTATTTATGGATATCACCCTGCATTGTTTAATTAAATACACCATTAAAGCAAAAATCTGTAAAAGGCTTGAACACTTTTTACCTGTTCTACAATATTGCATAAAAAAGTTAAACGCCAGTAATGGCTACTGCCGAAATGTAAAAGCAACAAATCACAAAAGGATGTTAATACAATGATTGATATAACTACAGATATACAACCTACCATTGAGGTCCAAAATTCAGAGCTTCAGAGCTTTGTTCCGACATTTCCTCCTAGAAACAAGGCAAGCGTATTTCCTGTTACTGTAATGCTGAAACATTCGTTCAACCACACAAATATATATACAAAATAAAACCGGTTACATCTTTTGCCAGACTACCGATACAAATTGAAACAAACATAAATTACTGTGAACAAAATGCTTAATGATAATAAAATTTTAGTTTGTAAAGATGCTAATACATCATAAATTACTTACTTTAAATTGTTTTGTGTTCACAAAAAAAAGATAATCAAACAATTTTTCAGTTTGAAAATAATTTTTTACTCAAGCAATATGGCGTTGTGTTTTTGATACAAATGATCACGTGTCCACTCCACTTTACTAGGAAAACTGGGGCGAGTAAGAAATTTAGAGATCAGTGGAAAATATCTCTAATTTCAGAAAATAATACTAAATTATAATATTTACTAATAATACATAATCCTTTAATACATACAATAATATTATTTGTCTTTTTAATACTTCTAGCAATAGTAGTTAGTATATTTATACTGCGATCCTCGGGAAGGAACGCGAGGCTCTGGGATAATCCGTTGCCGGAAGCCAGGAATTGTGGCTAAGATTGAACTACGCATTCCATTTCAATGGCCAATCAGATTCCTCCCTGAAACGGATTATCCCAGAGCCTCGCCACAGAATAAAGATCAGTACCAGAAGGGCCGCTCAGCGTTGCAACGTGTCACCATTTTTCTATGCAAAAATATGCAGTTGACTGGCCAGAAGGCGGGGCCTTCAGCCAGTACAGCGCGTTTATTGGCCAGAAAATGTAATCGACTGGCTAGGAAGATGGCGGCCAGGGTGACATAAACTTCAAAGCTTCCGACGTAAGTGGCCCTTCTGTGTGCCTTATTCTGTGGCCTCGCGTTCCTTCCCGAGGATCGCAGGCTCGGGGAACGAGATTGCCCAATAATCATGAAGCAACATTGTGTTGAGGGGGAGGGGAGGTAGTTACTACTTCTAGTGATCAGGAACGTTTGTATGCACTAAAAATAAAATGACTTTACAATACAGTAAAACACGATACGTTTTAAAAAGTGTACGGATTAATAATTTTCCATGATTGTTGTTCGTATATATGTCCAAAGTGACTGCCAAATTTGGGTTACACTTTCATGTCACGCAGTAACGGAATATAAGTGGTCAGGTTAGGGATTTGATTAGTGACATGAAAAGATAAATTTGACACGTAATAATTAGTTCTATCTTCACCAAATAACCCCCTCCTTCCTATGTAATCAACTGTCATCCCTCGATGATGACGTATTGTTAAATGCTCCCAAACATCCACGTGGCACAATGAACAAAGCCAAACACACAACGTTCAGTTGTAATTATAAACATATATATTGTACAGCATTCATATACAAAACAATTATATGAAATTGAAAATATTTTTTTACAAATTTCTATCAATTTTTTTATGATTATATATAAATCGTAAGTATATACAGTCTATTATAAGGATTAAAAATACAGTCGGGGCTTCTGTGTGTGATGAAATTAGCTGAAAAACAAAAACAAACTTCAACGTTTCAAGTTAGTAAACAAACTCGCTCGAAACGTCAAAATTTGTTTGAATTTTCAATGTATGATACATGCAAGCCCGCAACAACACACATAAAAACACACAGTGCCACAACTTGAAACAAATCTGCCACAAGTTGTAACAAACCTGCAGCAGACTTGTAGCAATGCTGTTTCAACAACTTGTCATCAGGATGTGTTCGCACTGCTTGTTCCCAGCTTGTTGACAAGTTATCAAACAACGTGCTACCAGGTTGTTGAACTCAACAGACTTGCCACAAGTTGTTTCAAGGTTTGTTATCGTCCTAGGGTCAGTTGTAATAAAAAGTAGTTAAAGTTAACTACTGGTACTGCGAATGTTAACCAATCAAAATCGCGTCTTTTAGACTGAACTACAATGTAACTACAAAATAGTGGTCAAAAAGTAGTTAGGAATTTTATACAACTCACTCCTTCAATTCA